AAATGTAGGCCCCGCGCCCAAGAACGGAGAAATGGGCACGGAGATGCGCCATGGGCCAGGAGTGCTGTATCGCCGCACAGCTCTCTGATGGAGGAAGCCACCAACCTCCTCAAGGAAATCTGCCTGGAGGGAGGCTAGTGGCACCATCATTAGCTGCTGGGCATGGTCGAGCAGAACATTGTGGCTATCGTGACCCACAGGCAACCCTACGACCTCGACAGCAGGTGATTCAAGCTTCCTCTCCTCCTCCTCCTTCATGGTGTGAAACGTTTGAGCCTTTTGGGGCGAGCCAACACCTGAGGCGAAAAAAGCAGCCCTTCTCCCCATGACTTTCCGGTCTGGAGTCCACCAAATGGCATTCCGATCATTCTTGGCTACATAGGTAGCCTGTGAAGTGCTGTCGCTGGCCGTTTGTCGGAGCATTCCGTGCATTCCCCCCCGCGGCGGCCAATCGCGCCTTTTCTCGCGTGTTTGCCAACACCACGATGTTTTCTCGGCATCTTCATGCATTCATGTTGAGATCAATTTAGATAGAGCGTCTTGGAGAAGAAAAGAAGATGGACCAGCAGGGCAATACCTCCCCGACCACAACGACAACGGCAACGGCAACGACGAGTGCGAGTACGAGTACGGTGGGGCGGCCCTGTGCACAGTGCCAGAGCCGCCACCTGTCGTGCGACCGCCAACGACCGTGTCGGCGCTGCGTCGAGGCCGGACCTGGCCTGGCCATGAACTGCTGCGACCCGACCGACGCGCCGCGCAAGCGGGGCCGACCGCCCGGCGCCTGCCGCAAGCGCAGGTCCACCACCGCCCCAACAGCCCTCGCCACCCCCACTCCACCCACGGTGCTCTATCCGGCACCCAAGCGAGCCCGGGCCGAGCCTGGGTCCCTCCTAGTCCCGCCTCCTGTGCCCTTCGCCGTACCCCAGCCGGCAGCGGCGGCCCCGCCACTTCCACAACAGGCCTGGGCCTCGCCAGCGGATGACCCAACCGGTGCGCCCGGCTCGCCGCTGTTGTATATCTGGCTTTGCTCTGACACACGCCGCACACACACGCACGACCGCACACGCACGCATGTGGCACGTGGACAGGGTTGTGGGATGGAGCGCCGCAGGGGTCTGGCCAGCAGTCGTCGTCGCCGCCGCTGCCGCAGAGCTCGCAGCAGGTTGCGACCACGGCGCCCGGCGGTGGTGGTGGAGGGCAGCCGGCCGAACCGGACGTGATGCGGGCCATTCTGCACGAGCTGCGCGAGATGCGCTCGGCCTACACCACTCTCAGCGCGCAGGTGGCCGACCTCACCAAGCGCCAGACCACTACCGACCACCGCATCGACGCGCTCCACCACCACCACCACCACCACAACCACAACCAACCGTCGCCGCATCAGCTCCTCCACCAATACCGCCAATCGCAGTTCGAAGGCGCCTCGGCGGCCATGACGGCCTACTACGGCTCCGACGGAGGAATAGGGCCGGCCAGGCGCCTGAGCGCCAGCTGGCAGGAGCTGGCCGACCTCTTCAACTCGGCGCCGTTCGTGTCGGTGGGGTCGCCGTCGCTCCCGTCGCCGCTGCCGTCGCCTTTCCCCTCGAGCCAGGGGCTCCTTACGCGCATGTGGTCCATGTCACAGCCCTCCATGGCACCACCACCACCGGGCTATTCGTCGTCTCCGTTCTCTTCGCTTTCTTCGTCGTCTTCGTTCTTTTCCTCTTCATCGTCGTCTTCGCTTTCTTCTCCTTCTCCTTCTCCTTCTCTTCTGTACCTGCCGTCGCCTCCGCTGCCGCCTACGGTGCCGATGCACTCGTTCGACCGCCACCACCCGCGCGTGCTGGCCGTGCTGCCCAACAACCAGCTGAGCAGCAGCTTCGACCGGCCGTGGCTCATCGAGCGCATGGCCAGCGATGCGCGGTTGCCCAAGCACCAGTTCCCCGACCCCAGCCTCTTCCAGTTCTTCGGCTCCAAGCGACCGCTCACCGTCGCCGCCAACGACCAGTTCCGTCAGCTCATGCGATACACCTGGGTACCACCGCACACACACGACACACACGACACACACTCACGACACACACAGGCGGAATCTAATGTGTGCGCACAGGGAGAGCTACACGAGCTCAACACGGCGTGGTTCTACCCGCCGTCGGCGATGCAGGTGATGGCGGTCTGGTTCCGGGACTGGATCGGCAAGCGCCAGCCTGCCTGCCTCAGCCCCGTGTTCCTGACCACCTGCCCGCTGGTCACCCGCGACGGCCAGCTCCTCCACTCCCTGGCCCGCACCCAGCTCTACTACGACGAGCAGGGCGACTACTCGTGGAGCCTCACCGTGCTCGAGTACTGGCGCTACGTCGAGCACGACAGCGAGAGCGAGGAGGCGACGCGCCAGGTGAGCGAGGAGCTCGAGGTGCTCCTGCGCGACTGCCATCCGAGCCCGTGCGTGGACCTGCCGCAATCGTCGTCTTCCCCAGAGTCGACGCCGTCGACGCCATCGCCAGCGACCTTCGCCTCGCCGCCGACCGTGTCGACCGACGAGTACGCCGCTTTGCTGAAGACGATGTACGCGCAGGGCCTCCACCA